CCGCTCTAGGGGACACGTCCTAAGTTTCCTATACTCCAAGGTAAAATTTGCTGACGTAGTACTTCGGCCGCAATTAGGCAGCGGAGTTTCCGGCTGGAGGTTTGACGCAGACGCCCGTCGCGGGAAATTAGCGTAGCAGCTTAGCTGGCAGCACCTCGCAACTAGGCTGGAGGATTGCGCCGCCTCGGAGGAACGTGCTTCTTGACTACTATAGTAGTACTGTCAATGTCTGGACTCGTCTGTCAAGTAGCAGTACAAATGCGCGTTGCTGGAAGCAACGAAAATCGTTTTCGGCGGCGACGCAAGCGAAGAGCCAATTGATATGTCACGTCATTGCGTTGTTGGCACTTGAAGCATGTGACACATATCCTCAGGAACTATTTTGCCGAAACCCTAACTTCATCCAACTTTAGCATAACGGCGCGCTCAGACCTCGCTTCTGGTTCTCGCTCTTGCTTAGCTCACTAAGACATTTATCTAAACCGAGTCTAGAACATTCACAGGACACTCTCCTTCCGTTATAGGACTAGATACCATCTCCACCACCATACCCGTACCGTAACCGGGGAGTGAATTCACGGAAGGTCGCCCCTGAGGCCCTTCACAAGTTTCCGTACGAGGAGCTGGTACGGAAGGTCGCCCCTGAGGCCCTTCACAAGTTTCCGTACGAGGAGCTGGTACGGAAGGTCGCCCCTGAGGCCCTTCACAAGTTTCCGTACGAGGAGCTGGTACGGAAGGTTGCCCCTGAGGCCCTCCAAAAGGAGCTGGAGCGGAACTTCCGCTACTGGACCAGCCAGTCGACAAGGTTATCCCGTCCGCCGTATCTGACGTGTACATCGTCCGCCTCCGCGCCGCCCCGCCAATCGCGGGATGCACCGGCGGAATCAACGGGATTGCCGCCACGGCAGCAGAGGCTGTCAGAGACTCGGTGTCTGACGTCATCAACTCAGTGACTGGCCAGATTCGCAGGGGGCGTCGCCGAGCGAGTCGCCAATCGTCGCGACTGAACCTGGGGGCGCCAGCAGTCGCACAGTTCAAGCAGTGGCTCGATCGGCTGCAGGATGGAGTTGCGAATGACGTGCGCCTGCCACGCGCGAATGTACTGTACAAGTGAGTTGTAACAATCAATGGAAGCTAATATGCTACTGTAGATGCACTACACTTAATTTTCCAAACCTATTTTCTCCCTCTGCCAGTTCACTGATTCTCCCTCTGCCAGCTCATCACCCCTTTTTTTCTGCCCACTTCCCCCCCATCGTTTCCAGATTCAAGCACGTCAGCAATGCCTTTGTGGCGCGATTGACACCTAAGCAGCTGCAGCAGCTGAAGCGGCACCCAGCAGTTGCAGAAGTCAAGTCCAACTACCGAATCAGCAAGCTCACCACCGACTCTGCAAACTTTCTAAACCTGCCCGGGACGCTCTGGACTGCCCGGGGTCGCGAGCGGGCAGGAGAAGGTGTAGTCGTTGGAATAGTTGACACGGGTTTTTGGCCGGAACACCCTTCATTCTCCTCGAATGTTACTCCACCTGATCTTCCATACCCTAACCCTCCATCAATCTGGAGAGGCACCTGTCAGGTGACATCTGATTTCAAGTGCAACAGAAAGGTGATTGGCGCGAAAATTTGCAACTCGGGGTTCCGGATGTGGTTCGGGCAGGAAGACACGACCGCTGATTGGACATCGGCTCGGGATGCGGATGGGCACGGCACCTGGTGTGCAGCGTGAGTGATCCATCCACTCCCCCCCTTGCCTCTTGCTTTTGAGTCGACTGCTGACGCGAGTGCTGATTGGACATCGGCGCGGGATGCAAACGGGCACGGCGCTTGGTGTGCAGCGTGAGTGTTCGATCCACACCCCCTTGCCTCTCGCTTTCTTGCTTTCCATGGCGACTTTTGAGTCGACTAAAAAGGCACCTGGCGTGCAGCGTGAGTGATCGATATGACACCCCCATGCCTCACCATCATGTTGCAGAGTATTTTTGAGAATTCTCAAAAATACTCTGCAAGATCGATACGATACCCCCGTGCCTCACCATTTCTTGCCTTTCACTTTCCACTTCAACCCTCTGAAAGACCATAATGAATGTCACTCTTTCTTGCTTTTCCGTCGTTGGACTCCACCTAAAAAGGCACATGCCGGCACCACCACTGGCATGATCGGGCTCCCCGGCCCCCGGGCCTTCCTCTTACCGTGCTCTCAGGATCCATCCCCCTTCAGCTTTTGAGGCGCCTCAAAACCCGGGCCTTCCTCTTAGTCTGTAGGATCCGTCATGTTGTTGTCTATCCCCTTTCAGCCCATAAGTCTGACTTTTGAGTCGACTCAAAAGTCACCCCGGGCTTTCCTCTTAGTCTACAGGATTCAACATGTTTCTTTCTTTCCCTCTACAGCTCATAAGGCTGAAGTACCAAACGCGTTTGAGCCTCTTCTCCTTCTCCCCTCGTCTCCCACTCCTCTCCTCTCCCCTCCACTATACAGAGCGGCATCAGGCAACAGCAACGTACCTGTGGTGCCCTCCCTCTGCTTAACCCCCTTCGCCTGCCTCCCCCACCCCTCCTCTCCCACCCCTCTTTCCCATTCAATAATGCAGAGCGGCAGCGGGCAACAGCAACGTGCCTGTGGTGCTATCTCCCCGCGACATAAACGTCGGCAACGCCACCGGCATGGCACCCCGCGCCTTCCTCGCAGCCTACAAGGTCTTCTGGGGCAACTCTGTCACAGGCGGCGGGATCACTGCCACGTATGCTGACGTGGAGGCAGCAGTCAACGCGGCTGTCGCTGACGGGGTTGACGTCATCTCGCTCTCCCTGGGCGGCGCAGACCCCAGTGCCACGTATTTCAGCGATCTGCCGTATTTATATGCGAATCTGGCCGGCACGGTGGTGGTTTATGCAGCGGGGAACTCCGGTCCTCCTCCTCTCACCTCTTCAATGTATCGCAGCATCTCCAACTTCTCGCCATTCTACCTCACTGTTGGCGCCAGGTGGGTTTCCAGGTGGCTTTCTGTTGGTGCCAGGTTAGTGGTAGGTGTCCTCAGGAGTTGACGGGGTTGACGTCATCTCGCTCTCCCTGCGCGGCGCAGACCCCAGTGCCACGTATTTCAGCGATCTGCCGTATTTATTCGCGAATCTGGCCGGCACAGTGGTGGTTTATGCAGCAGGAAACTCTGGCCCGCCTCCCATGAATCCACATGATAAAAGTGTTGTTTTGAGACGTCTCAAAACAACACTTTTATCGCGTGTCCGGCACAGTGGTGGCCGGCACGTGCAGCAGGAAACTCGGGCCCGCCTCCCATGAATCCTTCAATGTATCGCAGCATCTCCAACTTCTCGCCGTTCTTCCTCACTGTTGGCGCCAGGTGTGTTTCGGGCGCTTTTCCGTTGGTGCCAGGTGAGCTGTCAGGTGCTTTTCTGTTAGCCCCAGGTGAGCCGCCAGGTGCTTTTCGTTGGCGCCAGATGAGTGCTAAGTGTCCTCAGGAGGGTGGCGCTATGTGTTCAATCCAGGCCATGCGTGTGCCAAGTGAAGTGAAGGCCACCCCTGCCTTCGCCCTCCCCTCCCCTCCCCTCCCCCCCCCCTCCCCTCCTCTCCTCTCCTCTCCTCTCCTCTCCCTCCCTGCAGCACCATCGCTTGCAGCTACGTCTCTTCAGCCACGCTGGGCGACGGGCGAGTCGTGAAGCTGTACGGCCTTGTGCATTCCGGTATCAACCTCTCCTCCCCCTTTTTCCCTCCCCTTTCCCCTCCCCCTTTTCCCCTCCCCTTTCCCCTCCCCCTTTTCCCCTCCCCCCTTTCCCCTCCCCCTTTTCCCCTCCCCCCTTTCCCCTCCCCCTTTTCCCCTCCCCCCTCTCCCCCTGCAGCACCATCGCTCGCAGCTATGTGTCGGCTGCCACGCTGGGCGACGGGCGGGTGGTGAAGCTGTACGGGTTTGGCTCGGGAAACGTGCCGGTGCAGGGACTGGGGCTGGTGGAGGGCGCTGCAGCGCGGGCAGCCGGGAAGACTGAGATCGAGGTGGGTGTGGCGAAGGGCAGATGCAGTGCGGTGCAGGGTCTGGGGCTGGTGGAGGGTGTTGCAGCGCAGGCAGCCGGGAAGAGTGAGATCGAGGTGAGACTCGGAAGGAGATAATGAGCTTGAGTGTCAATGTCTGGCTGGCACTCAGGCAGGGTCGTGACTCCAGCTCCAGCAGCAAACTGCCCTGAGTTGACTTTTGAGGCGACTCAAAAGTCAACTCGTATGGGGCCACCAGCACCAGCAGCAACCTGATCCACTCCCATTCCCTCCCCTTTGCTCCCTCACCCTGCAGGGTCAGTACTGCGCTGAATGCTCACTGAGCGCCTCCAAAAATTCAGGGAAGATCGTTCTGTGGTCGTATGAATGGGCCACCACCGGCAGCAACCTTCGTTGATCCACTCCCATTCCCTCCCCTTTGCTCGCCCACCCTGCAGGGTCAGTACTGCACTGAATGCTCACTGAACGCCTCCACAATTGCAGGGAAGATCCGACTTTTGAGTCGACTCAAAGGTCTTCTGTTGCGATTGTATGATTGGACCAGCACCAGGAGAAATCCCTATTCCACTCTCTTCCGCCTCCCTTTCCTCTCGCCCTCTGCCCCGACCCTGCAGGGTCAATACTGTGCTGAAGGCGCACTGAACGCCGCCAAGATTGCAGGGAAGATCGTTCTGTGCTCGTATGGGTGGACCAGCAGCAGAAGCAAGGCAGCAGAGGTTGCTGGGAAGGGCGGCAGCGCTGTGATTGTAGTGGATGTGCCTGTAACAGCCAGAACGTACCCTATTTATGAGGCTCGGCTGCCGGTCATGGGATCAGAGGCGAGCGAGACGGGTGTTTTGCGCGCGTACACCCGCACTGCTGCCAGGTGAGGGGTTACTACACTCGCTTTCTGCGTTTAGCAAGGGTTATCCCCTCACACGTCTGCCATACCCACAGGACACACACAGCTAAACCCAGTCCGACCCGACTTCCCCTTTCCCGCTTTCCCCCACCTCTCCTCCCACCCCTCCTCCCATCTCCCTCCCCCCCCCCCCCTTCTCTTCCGCTCCCTCTCCCTCTCCCCTCCACCAGCCTGGCTGCTTCCAGTAACCACCAGTCAAGCCTACAAAGCCGCTTCTTCTGTTTTAACTCACGCTTTGAGACGTCTCAGAACCAGCCAGGCTGTTTCCAATAACCAGCAATCAAGCCCTCAAAGTCGCTTATTCTGTTTTGACTCACGAGTTCCTTCCCGTCCCTTACCCTCTCCCCGTCTTCTTCGTCTCGCTCTCTTCCCCTCTCCCCATCGCTCCCCCCTCCGCCAGCCCGACTGCATGCGTCGCCTACACTTTCAAAACAGCCTCGACCACTAATCAAGCCTTGAAATTCGCTTTTATTTCCTTCGACAAAAGAGTTTCCTCCCGTTCCCTACCCATTCCCCCTCTCCCCATCGCTCCCCCCTCCGCCAGCCCGACTGCATCCTTCGCCTACACCTTCAAAACGGGCGTAACCAGCGATAAAGCCCTCACGCTTATTCGCTTTTGACTCACAAGTTTCCTCCCCCCACCTATCCATTCCCCCGCTTCCCCCCACCTTTCCTTTCTCGCCCTCCCCTCCGCCAGCCCGACTGCATCCTTCGCCTACACCTTTAAGACGGACGTAACCAGCGACCAGGTTTTGAGGAGTCTCAAAAGACAAGGCCTTGAAAATTGCTTTCGTTTCTTTTGACTCACAAGTTCCCTCCCGCCCCCCACCCCTTCCCCTCTCCCCGTCGCCCCCCCCTCCGCCAGCCCGACTGCATCTTTCGCCTACACCTTCAAGACAGACGTAACCAGCGATCAAGCCCCGGACGACGCGTATTCCCTTCTGACTCACAAGTTTCTTTCCCCTATTCCACCCCTACCCCCCTGTCCTCCCTCTACCCCCCCTCCGCCAGCTCGTCTGCATCCTTCGCCTACACCTTCAAGACGGACGTAACCACTGAGCACACCTTGAAAATCGCTTTCATTTCCTTTGACTCAGGATTTTCCTCCTGTCCCCTGCCCACTCCCCCTCACTCCCCCCTCCGCCAGTCCGACTGCATCCTTCGCCTACACCTTCAAGACAGATGTAACCAGCGATCAAGCCCCGGATGTCGCGTATTTCTCGTCTGCTGGTCCGCTCGTCAACCCCGCTACTGCAGCCACCCTCTCTTTCCCCACCAACGACATCTTAAAGCCCGATATAATCGCTCCCGGCGTTTCTCTATGGGCCGCTGCGCCGTCCTCGTCTCTTGCATCTGCTTCTACCCCCGCTTACGCCATGCTTAGCGGAACCTCCATGGCTACTCCGCACTTGGCGGGAATCGCGGCGCTGCTCGTCGAAAGATACCCTGCTTGGTCACCGTCGCAAGTCATGTCCGCGATTATGACTACAGCGAGCGTGACTAATACTAAAAACGGGTCGATCGCCGCGGGTTTGACTGGAAACAAGGCAACGCCGTGGGATATGGGAGCGGGCCACGTCAATCCCAATGGTCTTATGGACCCTGGGCTAACTTTTCCCGCCAGCGCTACGGATTATTATAACTTCCTTGCCGGGCAGAACTTGGTGAGCGCCAAAAGTTCCGTGCCAATCAGAACGAAGCTGTCGCCGATTCCAGCGTACAATTTGAACCGCCCGACGATTTCTGTCTCGCGGCTGAAAAAAACAGTGCTGGTATCGCGAACGGTGCAGAACGTTGCGAATACAGTATCCAGCTACACTTCAACTGTGGTTGCACCGCCTGGTGTTACTACAGTCGTAAGTCCTAATAAATTCACAATCCCTCCAATGCGGGTTGTAACATTCACTATCAGGTTCACAGTCGCTAAGGCGTCTCCCGGTTTCCAATTCGGAAGCCTGACATGGAAGGACCAGTTTGGCCACGTGGTGCGGTCAGTGCTGGCGGTGCAACCTCTTTCCAAATAAGGCTCAAGGATGGAGTCAGGCATCTCAAAAGGACTCCTGATACCTTCCTCCTACGGCCAATGTATATGTCTTCCCCTTGAGTTATTCCCAGGTGGGACCCTAGTACGGTATTACCAATAAAGGGAATGGCTCCCTGCCTGCCCTGTGCAATGATTTGATCGTAATTGGTGCTCCTGCCATCCATCCATGTCATGACATGGCCAGGCGTGTTGTTTGCATAAACGAGTCGTGCTGTGCGTGTATAATGGAGTACAAAGCGAGTGGAAATCATGAACAAGTGCTCGGTACCAACCACTCACAACACTGCCATTGCGGATGTTTTCTCCCTAACCATTTCTCTGTGTGATGTGGTGGTGGTGGTCTCTGTAATTCTGGTTGGACAGCCGCACATATAGTGCTCCACTAAAGGAGGTTGGAAACTCTGTATACAGCTGAAAGATCAGCATGAGCAGTTACGGAAGGAGGATTAATCAGCGTAGGTACTGAAAAAACACATCATCATGAACTCCTACCCAAATCAGGGTAAATTGGCTGACTAGTGGTAACACACGTTTCCTGTACAGCATGTATCCATCCATCAGTTCCAGCAATCATGCGCGGAAAACTACCATCACTCTGAAAAGATATCATGCTACAAGTGAGCATGGCATGTGGATGAGTCCAGAGACCTGCCAATACAAAAAGCGGGAAGCAAAAACATACCGGTATGTAGGAGCGGGAGAAACCCCCATGAAACATGGCGAAACCACTATCGGAAAGCAAGGAATGAGGGAAAGAGGCAAAGTTCCAAGTCAACCATACAACCCTGAACCGTCTGTCTGCCTTAACATAAACCACAATCTCTGCTTGCATAACCAACGTGGAAGTGCTTTTCCCCCCATGGCACACGGCAGCGACTCTCAGGCAGCTAGGCACGAGGCAGCAGTCACTCGGCTATTCACTCAGCCAAGCAAGAGCCAGCTTTCAAGTACTCTCATAAACTGCTACTCACTCGGCTTGGACAACCAGGGCGGATGCACCAACCCCCCCCATTGCACACAGCAGCGACTCCAGGGCGGCTAAAGGCAGCTCGCTTCTGATAAGTCCCACAAACCAGACTCACTCGGCTTGGACAACCAGGGCGGATGCACCACCACCACCATTGCACACAGCTGCCACTCCCAGGCGGCCCTCATGCTTCCTGAGCACGCCCAGCAGCGAGACGACAATGCGCGCCCCACTGCTCCCCAGGGGATGCCCCAGCGCCACCGCCCCCCCATGCACGTTCAAGCGCTCCTCAGGAATGTTCAATAGCTTCTGATTCGCCAAAGCCACCACCTGGTGGGTGGGGGTGGGGGGTGAATGGGAAGGGTGAAATGCGGTGGAGTGCGGTGTGGAGGAGAAGTACCAGCGCCACCGGGTCCCCACGCACGTTCAGGCGCTCCTCGGGAATACCCAGCAGCTTCTGATTCGCCAGAGCCACCACCTGGAGTGGCGTGCAGGGTTGTTATGGGGCAGGTGAGGAGGTTGAGAAGGGTGACGTTCAGTGGAGTGTGGGGAGGGGCAATTAACGGCAGCCACTCGCAGCCGCTGCCCCCCCATGCTGGTTAGAGCGGCTAAGTGCATACTTGGATTGATTGTTGATAAGCACCTGGCATACGCGCATGGCTGCCTTGGATCAGCTCACCGAGAAGGCACTGCCAGCCAGCCAGTGCCAAGGCAGCTGATCCAAGGCACTGCCAGCCAGCCAGTGCCAAGGCAGCTGATCCAAGGCACTGCCAGCCAGCCAGTGCCAAGGCAGCTGATCCAAGGCACTGCCAGCCAGCCAGTGCCAAGGCAGCTGATCCAAGGCACTGCCAGCCAGCCAGTGCCGAGAAGTGCCTTGGCTGCCAGCCAGCACTGGCAGCACTTGTTGACTGCTCCCACAAGTGAGTGAGCCTTTTGAGACGAGAAGTGCCAAAACTGCAGCCCCTCTCAGGTCAGACAGCCCTTCTGCCAGCCCAGAATCTCACCGAGAAGGCTTCGTTAGTTTCTCCCAGTAATCCACGTCGCATTGTTCTACCCCCACATGCTTGAGAGCCACCGGCACTGCGAGGGGGCGGCTGTTGGACCTACGCACACTATCAACAACACAAGTGATTCGCCACTCACCGAAAAGGCTTCGTTGATCTCCCAGTAAGCCACACCGCATTGTTCTACCCCCGCATGCTTGAGAGCCACGGGCACTGCGAGGGGGACCCTTGAGGCTGATCATACGACCAACAGCTGAATGCACCGAGAATGCTGAGGAAGCACTCGCTAAACTCACTGAGAATGCTTCGTTGATCTCCCAGTAATCCACGCCGCTCTGTTCAACCCCCACGTGCTTGAGAGCCACCGGCACTGCGAGGAGGCGACCCTTGGGCCCACCTTCACGACCAGCAACACCAGTGATTCACAACTCACCGAGAAGGCTTCGTTGATCTCCCAGTAATCCACGTCGCTCTGCCCCACACCCGCATGCTTGAGAGCCACTGGCACTGCGAGGGGGCGACTGTTGGAGCTAAATCACACAAATAACATCAGCGTGCACCCTGAGAATGCTGAGGGACCGCTTGCGAAGCTCACCGAGAAGGCTTCGTTGATCTCCCAGTAATCCACTTCGCTTTGCTCCACCCCCGCATGCTTGAGAGCCACGGGCACTGCGAGGGCGGGCGCCGTGGTGAAGCGGTTGGGTGCTTGCTCCGCGTCCCCGAAGCCCCTCAGCACTGCCAGCACGTTCAGCCCGTGCTGCCTGGCGGCTTGGCGGCTTGCCAACACCACTGCTGCTGCCCCGTCGCTGAGAACGATGGGAAACACAAGGGAAACAGTTGAGGTTGGAGTGCGGTTGTGGCATGATGATGGTTGCAGAAAGCGAGGATGACTAGATGTAGAGAGAAGCCAGATGCCAAAGGCAGGGGAAGAGCTAGGGGTTTTTGAGAATTCT